AATGTGTTTTTTCAAAATTTTTAACTTTTTTTGTTAATTTAGCAAAAAATAAAAACCCCAGCGGTGATTAAATACCACCAAAAGAAAGCTCTAGTTGTGTGAAGAAAATGATCAAATTTTAGTTTGGGTACAATGTTGTATGACCGCGCAATTGTCATTCAAAGTGTGAGAGCGCTGAAACCTGAAAACTGGCCTGGGCAGGAAGGTGTAAAATTGCACGGTATTGAAACGGTTAATAAGATCAAGTAGGGTTGACCAGGGCACAATAGACTTCTTCCCAGATTTCCTAAGGAGCGATCTGTAGAAGGATCAGAAGCCCAGAAGCCGATTGTTTGAGCTGTTAGGCTTAAATGTTGATATAAATCAAAACCTTGAATTAAAATTACATCAATTTAATCATTTCTACAGTCTACACTAAGCTATTAAAAATGTCTAAACATAAAAACACACATGTACCATCCCCCTGTACACCCCCCCCCCCCCACACACACGTTCCATTGCTGTACCCCCTCTGCACACATGTTCCATTGCTGTACCCACTTTGCACACATGTTCCATGCCCTACTGCTTCCAGGGAAGCTGAGCTTGTGGCTAACAGTTAACCCCTCAATTGCCAAACAATTAGGTTACAACAGAGCACCACCCAAAAGGGGAAATTCCATTTTATGTACTCCTCCCCTGTCACATTTGGCATTCAAGCGGATGCCTAGGTTTTGACAGGCGTTCCGAGCAGAAGTTCCCCTCTCCCCCACCCTCCCTGCAGAAGACTGCTGGACCATTTAGAAGAAGCAGTGCGACTCATGCATGGTTAGTGGCTACCTGGCTGTGAAGCCGGAGCTGTCACAGCCAGGTGCCCATAGTTGAGATGCCGCTGCCAGGCAGAGAGAAGGGAAAAAATGGATGGCTTGGGTGAGCACATCACTGGATTCTGGGACAGGCAAGTGTGTTTCTTAAAAGTCAGCAACTACAGTTTTTGACTTTTAATAAAAAACACAAAAATTACTGGAGTTCCTTTTTAATCAGTGAGTGCTTTTAGTAGTACAATGTAAAAGGTGTCTGACAACTGAAGGGTTTCCAGTTAGCCACAGGCGCAGCTCCCTCTCCAGCAGCTATGGGGTTAAGTCTGTAGCAGCTCTGCTCCCTCTCCTGTTCTCCTCTGCTTATACAAAGGGCCATAAAATTCCTCACTTTCCCTTGATCTGCACAGTTAATAATGATGACGGATGTCTGACTCCCTGCTGGGCTGTCACAGTGCCTTCTGAATCCCCAGTGAAATCCTTTACCCCAGCCTGCCTGTGTTGTCAGACATGTATGGAGTTAAATGCTTTCAGCTCGAGGCTTGCTGGCAGCTGTTACTATTGGATGGGAGGAGGGGCACACTAGCTCTATGGGCAATTTAGACCAGAAGACTCAGTCTGGTCCACTCACTACAGCCAGCAGGAATTGTATCACTGCTGTTGACATGAGAACTACAGGAGGGATGTGCCGTGACCAGTGGCTGGGGGAATGCAAGACATACATGCTGTATGCTGTGATATAGTTATATCCTTAAGGAACCGCTTTACTATCTCAGTTTGAGCAATTTTTGGAAACCCTTCATTGGGTATATACACTCAGGTATACAGTGCCTGCTATATATATATATATAATACTCTTTTTGAAATATATGTATTGAGACTACCTGGTTTCCCACTCATATATACACTACTGAACAAGCAGAAAGGACCTTATCTTATTTCAAGTCGACGTGAAGTCCTCTTGATCTTCATTGATGGTAATATATACCTTTATTTTGTTGTTTTTTATTATTCAGGGGGATTCTGCTTGATGTTTATGATCTATATATATATATATATATATACACACCTCTAGAATCACCTGTTATTGTGGACTTTGTTTCACTTGGGGTGGTTACCCAGGAAGTCTCTACATTCATCATGCTGGTATGACAGCCAAGTTACTGAGAAGGTAATGAAAGTATTCGTTCATCTTTGCATGGGGCAGCTCTGGTGCGATTTATGTGCTATTTAAGTCTTTTATCACCATATCTTTTTGTTCTAGTTTCCACTCACCAGGAAGTTATTCTACATATCCTGGCTTATACCAAGAATACGTCTGAAGAATATATGGCTAATCTAAATACAAGATTGAACTATATGGAAATCTAGGATTATATAGCTAGAAAACCCCATTGCCTTATATGGTTCCCTATGTGCCAAAACCACCCAGAAATGAGGACGCCAAGTGCTTTTAAATTATTTTATTTGTCTGATATGTTCACCGTGCTTGTGTTTAACCTCCCTATGATCTATGTGATCAAATAAAGTACTCTTTGTAACTACTGAACTTATATTACTCCACGTGGATCTTTAAGTAACCACTTTTCTTTTGGGTGGTGTTGCTCTTGTCACACTACCATACTTTTTATTTATTTTTTTAGAATGCAAGACATAGCAACCTCCAGTCTTACAAACAGAAAGATACATGGGATTTATTTTTCTTTATTACAGGTACTTACAGTTGTGTTCAAAATAATAGCAGTGTGTTGAAAAAAGTGAATAAAGCTCAAAATCCTTCTAATAGCTTTTATTTCCATACACACAAATGCATTGGGAACACTACACATTCTATTCCAAATCAAAACATGAAGAAAAATATATCAAATTTGTGTTGTTCCTCTAAAAAAATTGAAGAAAAGTGAATATTAGACTGTTCAAAAAAATAGCAGTGTTTGTATTCTTTAAAAAAATCAAACATTCACTATATAAACTGAAAAATGTTTGAAGATTTTGCTTCCTTTGAATCAATTAATATTTATTGTATAAGCACTGTTTCTGAGAACTGCGGTACATCTGTGTTGCATGGAGTCAGCCAACTTCTGGCACCTGTGAACAGGTATTCCAGCCCAGGATGATTGTACTACATTCCACAGCTCTTCTCTATTTCTTGGTTTTGCCTCAGAAACCGCATTTTTGATGTCACCCCACAAGTTTTCTATTGGATTAAGATCCGGGGATTGGGCTGGCCACTCCATAACGTCAATCTTGTTGGTCTGGAACCAAGATGTTGCACGTTTACTGGTGTGTTTTGGGGTCGTTGTCTTGTTGGAACACCCATTTTGAAGGGCATTTCCTCTTCAGCGTAAGGCAGCATGACCTCTTCAAGTATTCTGATGTATTCAAACTGATCCATGATCCCTGGTATGCGATAAATAGGCCCAACACCGTAGTATGAGAAACATCCCCATATCATGATGTTTGCGCAACCATGCTTCACTGTCTTCACAGTGTACTGTGGCTTGAATTCAGTGTTTGGGGGTCGTCTGACAAACTGTCTCCGGCCACTAGACCCAAAAAGAACAATCTTACTTTCATCAGTCCACAAAATCTTGTGCCATTTCTCTTTAGGCCAGTCAATGTGCTCTTTGGCAAATTGTAACCTCTTCAGCATGTGTCTTTTTTTCAACAGTGGGACTTTGCGGGGGCTTCTTGCAGATAGCTTGGCTTCACATAGGCGTCTTCTAATTGTAACAGTACTCACAGGTAACTTTACACCTTCTTTGATCTTCCTGGAGCTGATTGTTGGCTGAGTCCTTGCCATTTTGGCCATTCTTCTATCCATTCGAATGGTAGTTTTTCGCTTTCTTCCACGTCTTTAAGGTTTCGGCTGCCATTTTAAAGCATTTGTGATCATTTTAGCTAAGCAGCCTATCATTTTCTGCATGTTTTTATCTGTTTTCCCCTCTCCAATCAACTTTTTAATCAAGGTATGCTGTTCTTCTGAACAATGTCTGGAACGACCCATTTTCCTCAGAATTTCAGAGAGAAATGCACTGTAACCAGCATGTACAACATTTGTTGCCTTCCTTCCTTAAATAAGGGCAATAATTGCCACCTGTTTTTCAAAGAATGAATGACCTCACTAATAGAACTCCACACTGCTATTATTTTGAACATGCCCCTTTCAATTAGTGAGTCAATTACACAGAATCAGCAGCATGCATGTTATGACTGTTGGGTCTGTTGGATTTCTATTACTCTACTACACCTGCTAGTAAATTATTTGCCATGTAGAAATATAATTTCTACCAAAAACAGTGATTGATCAGGTTAGTGATGTCGGACTGCTATTATTTTGAACACAACTGTATATACACATACACACATTGCCAAAAGTACTGGGACACCTGCCTTTACACGCACATGGACTTTAATGGCATCTTAGTCCGTAGGGTTCAATATGGAGTTGGCCCACCCTTTGCAACTATACCAGCTTCAACTCTTCTAGGAAGGCTGTCCACAAGGTTTAGGAGTGTGTCTATGGGAATGTTTGACCAGTCTTCCAGAAGAACATTTGTGAGGTCAGGCACTGATGTCGGACAAGAAGGCCTGGCTCGCAGTCTCCGCTCTAATTCATCCCAAAGTTCTATTGGGTTCGAGGTCAGGACTCGAAGTTTGGGGTGAAGGGACTTGACTGGCCTGCATACTTATCCATGTCTTTATGGACCTTGCTTTGTGCACTGATGTGCAGTCATGTTGGAACAGGAAGGGGCCATCCCCAAACTGATCCCACAAAGTTGGGAGCATGAAATTGTCCAAAATGTCTTGGTATGCTGACACCTTAAGAGTTCTCTTTACTGGAACTAAGGGGCCAAGCCCAACCCCTGAAAAAAAAAAAAAACCCACAGCATAACTCCCCCTCCATCAAACTTTACACTTGGCACAATGCAGTCAGGCAAGTACCGTTCTCGTGGCAACCGCCAAACCCAGACACGTCCATTGGATTGCCAGACAGAGAAGTTACTCCAGAGAACATGTCTCCACTGCTCTTGAGTGCAGTGGCAGCGTGCTTTACACCACAGCATCCAATGCTTTGCATTGCACTTGGTGATGTAAAGCTTGGATGCAGCTGCTCGGCCATGGAAACCCATTCCATGAAGCTCTCTACACACTATTGTGCTAATCTGAAGGCCACACAAAGTTTGAAGGTCTTTAGCCATCGACTCTGCAGACAGTTGGTGACTTGGAACACCTGAATCCAATGATTTGGAGGGGTGTCCCAATACTTTTGGCAATATAGTGTGTGTGTATTTAACAAAGTGTGGAAATATTTGACAAACCCTAGTAGATTCAGGAGTATTGAAATCACTGGGGACCAGCAAAGAGCCAAAAGTTATAACTTGCGGGCTTGAAAACTGACAGTCTTTGTGCAATATCCATTGCAAAATTTTGTCACTTTATAATATATGTGACTTCTTTGCTATGATATCAGCAATAGCTTTGAAATCCACACTACGTGCTGGCAAAACAATTTTAACTTCATATTTTCTTTTATCCTCTATGCAGATAATATAACTTTATTCTTTCCTCTCGCTGTTTTCACTTGATCTCTTAATCCTCCCGAATACCCTCTACTCTTCATGTACAGATCTCTCTTCAAAGAGCATTTGACAGACAGTGAAAATGCACTGTATAACCTCTTCACTGCCTATTTTAACCCCCTCAATGCTTGACTTGCATTGAGCTGGTGGATCCACATACAGAGTCCCCCCATGTGAAAGGGGCCTTACTGTATAATAAATTAACAGAATAATGAAAAACCTTAAAACAAAAAAAAACACAACAACAACTGACAAAAATGCATGAGGTATTTAAAATGAACAAGATTTGTGTTACAAAAACTCTATTAGGTAATATTTTATTTTCATAACTTTGAGACAAAGCTTAAATAGCAAGACATTTAGTGGATAGAAAAATTCTCACCTTGAAAAGGCCTTTTAGCATGATATCAATAATCTTGTACTGTTGGTTAACATCATTTAGTTCAATCAGGTTATTCAGGGCATTGATCTGATCCTTTCTCTTTACCTCAAAAAGCTTCTTATCTGCAATCTGTCAAGGGCTAAACTGTGAACAAAAAAAAGCGGTTTGTGAAAACTAAAAAAAGGCAAGAGTTTTGTCAGAGAATGCCAGCACAAAGCACCATTGCGCAACAAAGTACAAAATTATAAAAGGAGCAGAATTATGAAAGAAGGAACACAGTCTACACTACCTGCAGAGTTCAACTATAAATATTTATCAGCACAGTAAAAGAAAACCCCCCCCCCCCCAAAACTGAATAAAAACAAAAAAAACACATATGTAGCGCTACCCCCGAAGAAGCTGCTGGTAAAGATGGGTCCTTTTTTTCTGGCCTTGATCTTCTCATAGACTTCAGCCCCTCTGACACACAAGTTTGCAGGGGAATCACCGACACTGACATTAGTACACAGCTATAAAACTATTTTAAAGAATGCAAGCACCAAACCAATTAGTAAAATAAACTTAATAGAGTCACCTAGAGTAACAGAAGGGCAGCCAGAAACAGATAGTGTAAGCCCCCCTTGGAGGCTACCCTGCTTTAAGCTCTGGAGTGACTTTGCTAGGTCCAAGTCTGCCTGCAGGACTTCAGTGTTCCAGGAAGGATACTATAAAATATACATACTATAAAACAGGAAAGATAAATCTCCATGAAAGAAAAGAAAAAAAGAAAAATTATTTCTGCCGGCATGGTTGAGGCCCTTTCGGTGGTGCACTAATGGTGATTGTCAGGATCGTCCCCTCACCGACGCACATCTATGTGCCAGATCCCTGTCAGCTGTGGCGGTGCGCATGCACAGCGGTGTGCACGTCATCGCAAGGCGGGCTATTTAAATCACCAACACACTTTAGCCTATGCCTTCTGGTCTACAATGTCCTGTACTCCATAACCAGATTCTGTTGCCTGTATCTTATCTGACCCTGACCAATAAAAACTCCGCCTTCACCGACCCGGCTTATCCCTGACTAGCCGCTTGCCTGCTCCCTTGTACCTGATCTACCCGATTGATCCGGACTCGGCTTGTCTGACACTGCTACACCTACGTTCCTGTATCCGCACCTGGCCTGTATCCTGGTTGCCGCCATACCTACCTGCTGCTGCACCTATGCTTCTGCATCGGCTCCTGGCCTGCATCCGGGTCATCACCTGCCTACAGTCATCTCAAGACCCACCAGGCACTCGTGCCACTCCTGGCTCTGTGCCCTCTATCCCCACTAGCAGGAGCTCCGAGTGGGAGTAGTAAGAGGACGCCCTCCTCTCCACATAAGGCTCCCCAACCAGGTACACAACGGTGATATTGTTGAGCGGCTTCCAGATACTGCCAGTTCATGAAGGTGGGGGCTTGAAGAGTTCTAGCAGGAATAACTTGAAAAAGGTTTAACAGTAATAAAAATGGCAAGTAACAAGTGCATGGAGGCGTTGGGTAGATCGGAGCTAACAGGGTAATTCAGAACAGGTGGTGTGGCAATGCTCAGTGGGATGCTGCACAAGTACAGTATGTCTATGTCTAATGAACCAGATGGCAACAGTGTTAAGAGTCTTGCTGGATTTCGTGGTGCAGAGTATTTGGTGGGTTTGCAAAATTTTCACCAATCCTGCAATTCAGTTGTAGGAACCAATGGTGGAGAAGCCCCTCATGGATTGGTGGCTTAAACTTAAGAAAACGCACTCTGTATGGATGTACAGTCAGGTCCATAAATATTGGGACATCGACATAATTCTAAAATGTTTGTCTCTGTACACCACCACAATGGATTTGAAATGAAACGAACAAGATGTGCTTTAACTGCAGACTGTCAGCTTTAGTTTGAGGGTATATTATATTGTAAAGCGCTGAGCAAAAACTGTTGGCGCTATATAAATCCTGTATAATAATTTACATCCAAATCAGGTGAACGGTGTAGGAATTACAACAGTTTGCATATGTGCCTCCCACTTAAGGGACCAAAAGTAATGGGACAGAATAATAATCAAATCAAACTTTCACTTTTTAATACTTGGTTGCAAATCCTTTGCAGTCAATTACAGCCTGAAGTCTGGAATGCATAGCCATCACCAGACGCTGGGTTTCATCCCTGGTGATGCTCTGCCAGGCCTCTAATGCAACGGTCTTCAGTTCCTGCTTGTTCTTGGGGCATTTTCCCTTCAGTTTTGTCTTGAGCAAGTGAAATGCATGCTCAATCGGATTCAGGTCAGGTGATTGACTTGGCCATTGCATAACATTCCACTTCTTTCCACACATGAAATTTAATGGTATCCCAGTCTTCATCCGTATGGTTCAATATTGTGTTTGCCCACTCTTTGCAGCTAGAACAGCTTTAACTCTTCTAGGAAGGCTGTAGATGGAAATGTTTGACCATTCTTCCAAAAGCACATTTGTGAGGTCAGGCACGGATGTCGGACGAGAAGGCCTGGCTCACAGTCTTCGCTCTAATTCATCCCAAAGAGGCTCTATCGGGTGTGGGCAGAACTCGGGTTGAGGTGCATGCTAGTCAAGTTCCTCCACCCCAAAATCGCTCATCCATGTCTTTCTGGACCTTGCTTTGTACACTGGTGCGCAGTCATGTTGGAACAGGAAGGGGCCAGCCCCAAACTGTTCCCAGAAGGTTGGGATCATGAAATTGTCCAAAATATCTAGGTATGCTGATGCCTTAAAAGTTCCCTTCATTGGAACTAAGGGGCCAAGCCCAACCCCTGAAAAACAACACCACACCGTAATCCTCCACCAAACATTACACTTGGCACAATGCAGTCATGCAAGTACCATTCTCCTGGCAACTGTGAAACCCAGACACATCCATAGAATTGCAAGACAGAGAAGCATGATTCATCCCTCCAGAGAACACATCTCCACTGCTCTAGAGTCCAGGGGCAGCGTGCTTTACATCATTGCATCCGACGCTTTGCAATGCACTTGGTGATACAAAACTTGGATGCAGCCATGGAAACCCATTCCACAAGCTATCTACGCACTGCTATGCTATTCTGAAGGCCAAAGTTTGGAGGGCTTTGGCTGACTGTGGTGACAGTTGGAAACAGTTGCTTCCATTTTGTTATAATTGCACTAACAGTTGCCCATTAAAAATTTAGTAGCAAGGAAATTTCACAGATGGATTTATTGCACAGGTGGCAACCTATCATGGTACAACGCTTAAATTCACTGACCTTCCGAGAGCGACCCATTCTTTCAAAAATGTTTGTAGAAGCTGTCTGCATGCCTAGGTGCTTGATTTTATACACCTGTGGTCATGGAGGTGATTTGGACACCTCAAAAGTACTTTTGGCAATATAGTGTAAATACACACACACATCCAAAGAAGTTGCATTAAATTTTTTCCCTAGAAATGACCACAGAAATATGAACGGAGTTGAATACTACTACAGTCTGCTCTTATCGGTTTATCCCCTCTATGCCAAATGATCAGAACATGAGTTTCAAAAAAAGCAGCTGGCCCCCTATGCCAAGAAGATACTACATTGATTTACTAATGATCAGACTTTAACTGTTGCCCAAAATGGTGCATAAAAAAAATAATAAAAAAAAAAAAAACAAAAAACAAAAACACAGTAAATGGATACAGATTTCAAAAGCGGTGTCTTTCTTCTGCTTGCTGGTGTCTGAGCATTCCCCCAAGGTCAGCAATGCAAACAAGAGAAAACTCGATATTTGGAGCGGTTCCATCACAGAGACCTGCAAAACAAGACAAAATGCATACATTGAACAACTTATTTTTTCCCCAGAGCCGCACCCCCCACCCCCCTTACTGAATTGTACGCACTCCCTCAATTCTTTCTAGTTCGCTAGGTGCAGCACTATGTATGTGCAAGTTAACTGCACAGACAATAGGCAGCCCATGGATCCAAACTGTGATGATTTTTGGACTCATTATTAAAGAAAATAATATTCCCCAAAAGAAAATTATAAAGCCAGCTGTTATCTGTCAGCCAGTATTGTAAAACCCAAGAATGACCCATCCAGGAAACCATCCTACACAATGAATATTGAATGGAAAAAGGCCTGTTTAAAATACAATGCAATCAAATAGACCACCTTGAGAACCGAGCACCTTACAGCAAAAAGCTACATAAATGACCATTGTGGGACTCTATTCTTATTTACATACAGCTTTTTGAGACCTTGTAGGGTACTTGCTAGCCAAACAAACTATCAAAGATGTCACAATTGCCTATTCAGAACAAGAAGGTCAGCATCAATTGAAGTGAATCCCATGTCTTAGGGAAAATCAGCTGAATGTTTACTGTGATTAACAGACAATGGGCTTGTTAACTGGAGACTTCCAAAGCCATATCTCCATGAACTTTGCACTCAGCTCATGAGGAAAGACTTAAATTTAATATGAAAAAAAAAAAAAAAAAAAAAAAAAAAAAAAAAAAGGACTGGCATATCATTCAACTGAAATATTATTAAAACCATAGATATATACAGTACTATCACACAGAGGTAAATTTAAATAAAATTGGATACTAAAAAGGGATCAAATGAACATCTTTAAGTCATAAGGACATATGAGATGGTTTGGATAAAATATATTTTAAAACAAATACACAAACACCACATGTGCCTACATCAAGATGTAGAGAGAGGTGACAGATCACATGATGGACTGGAATTAAACGCACAAGGTCTGATTTAATACCATAACAATTATGGAATTATTATATGGAGATCTACCATTTTCAGGACAAATATCAGACATCAAAACACAGCTCTCCTATAAGGAAGATGAGCCGCTAATTCAACTAATATATATATAAACCTTATATTATATTGGGAAAAGCTATTTTCAGATCTCAACAGGACACATAATTTAGCAATCGGGACATGCTTCAGATGAAAGATGAGTGATCATTAAGGTCACCATTTCATTCATGATACTTGACTGCCCCCAATGGACAGGTAAAGAACTTCCAAAATAAACAGCATTTTGACCAACCAATCGTTAAATCCCATGGGAGGTCTTCTAGGACAATGGACAGTTACTATCAGAGGCGGACTGACAAATCATGGGGCCCCCGGTCAATAGAGGATCATGGGGCCCGTGTCCTTGCCCACACTAAAACCATACCCAAAAAAAAAAAGCCTATAAAAAAGGTACCAGGGGCATCTCATGGGGCCCCCTACTGACCCCGGGCCCGATTTGCCGAATGGTCAGTCCGCCCCTGGTTACTAACTATATATATATATACATATATATATATATATATATATATATATATATATATATATATATATATACACACACACACACACACACACACACACACACACACATATATATATATATACACACACACACATATATATACACACACACACACACATATATACACACACACACATATACACACACACACACACACACACACACACACACACACACACACACGAGACTCTCAAAGAAAAAAAACTCTTCCTGCTGCTAAAGAGACTCTTCCTGCTGCTAAAAACTTGGAAAAAAAAAAAAAAAAAACCTTTAAAACCACCTGGAAAAGCTCGATAGAAACAGAAACCCTGCTCCACAAACTCTCTGCTATTTTTGAAGAATTTATTTTAGAAGAAGCCTTTCGCCAAAGAAGAAATTTTCTGCTGCAGATCCCAATTTTTGTACCTTGCTGACGAGAGACTTTTTTTTACCAACTGCAATCCTACCGGAAGACCTCAGAAAACGTAATTCTGGGAGTGGTGAGAACTGTATCAGAACATCGTAACTTTTATACACTTAAAACGGATTAGAGCTTTAATCATATTTCATTGTGTTGGTTATAGTAAGATAGTGCATATCTACAAAATTTGCATTGTGTACAGAGATTGAGTAACAATTGTTCTAACTTTTTAGGTACTGATATCATACTGTGTACTAACATATTTGAAGTATTTTGCTGTGCAACTTGTCAGGAATATTATCACCAGTAGTTTTGTTTGTATTATATATATATATATATATATATATATATATATATATATATATATATATATATATATATATATATATATATATAATTTGTACATAAATAAATTTTATCAAAATGGCAAAATTTGTGTATAAACTAAGAAATCACATTGGTGAAAAGAACCCAAGGAAAATTATAGCGTGGTGATCAAATTATTAAAGGTGTCATTATTGGATTATTAATTATTTGCCTTATTTAATGGCTGGAGGCACTGCATTATATTGTTTATGGGATTTGGACACCGCCCAAGTTATTTAGAATTATTGATCTCTAAAACCACCACAAAACATATTGATTTATGGATAGCTCAATATTGCCAGTGCAACCCTAGCCCACAATACAAGGTCTTTTAAATTTTTTTGCTGCTTTAGGAGATTTAACCACTTTCTGGCAATCACCTAATTTGGTAGTCAAATTGTTCATCAGTGTTAGACTAGCTATACATTATACAATTTTCCTATAGAGTCACCAAAAACATAATAGGAGGTCCACTCTAAACAACACTTTCAGTTTGTACCCAATCAGGCAGGCCCTTGCACTACATAGTTGAAGGTAAATCTAAAAGAAATTGTAAAGAAAATTGTATAATGTATGGGCAGCTTTAGCAAAGTAAAACCACCTGTCTATTTTAGTCCTATGGCTCAATTCACACCTGGAGCCATTGACAATTGTAAGTGCTTTCTCCAGAAAATCCTTTGCAAAGTGAAGTCTATTTTCCTTTACTAAACAACCCCAATGAGCAGTTCCCACATATACATATTGACATTCGTTTTCAATTTTTTTACAAAAACAATAAGTATAAGCAATGTTGTTGAGCAACAGAGTAAAAAGAATCCAATATTTTTTTAGAAGTAAATAATTAACTGATCAACTTAACCACTTGTTTTACCAGGGCATTTTTTTCACACGTTAACATTTGCATTTTTTGCTAGAAATTATGTTAACCCCCCCCCCCCAACAAAAATGGGGGGGGGGGTGTCGATGGGGTAGCATTGTGTAAATTGATACAAAATATGACAAGGCTCAAAAAAGCATGGGGCGCAGACTCAGTTCCCAACACAGCTAGAGAACTATCCACACTCTGCTCCCATGCCTAGTGTGGTCAGTTTAATAGGAAAGCAGGGTGACTAGCAGAAACACCAGGGATTTCACACAAAGGAAGCAATACAAAGACAACAGTAAGAAAACATTCTATTTTATTAATGGTACGGTACAGGACACAGGATCAGAGTCTTAGACCATAAGACGTCCAAAAGTAATACAACTGGGGAGTGGGCAGCACAGCAAATAAACACCAACAGGACCATGTAACAAACAAGGAGCTCAAAAACGCAGCAGTCTGAAGCACCTTATAACAGACTAGCATCAGATGAGGTCTGTGGATTCAAATATCCACTGTTAAAACTTAAGCTCATCTTTATTTAAAAAATAAAAAATAAAAAAATTAAATATATATTACACACACACACACACACACACACACTCTCACGGAAGTGAGTACACCCCTCACATTTTTGTAAATATTTTATTAGATCATTTCATGTGACAACACTAAAGAAATGACACTTTGCTACAATGTAAAGTAGTGAGTGTACGGCTTGTATAACAGTGTAAATTTGCTGCCTCCTCAAAATAACGCAACACACAGCCATTCATGTTTAAACCACTGGCAACAAAAGTGAGTACACCCATAACTGAAAATGTCTAAATTGGGCCCAAAGTGTCAATATTTCACATTCAAGCTATAGTTATATAATGGATATGGGCTGAAAGTGCACACTCAGGTTTAATTTGAGGGTATGTACATCCAAAGGGAGGAAGGGTTTAGGAATTACAGCTCTTAAGAGTAGCCATCCCCCCTTTTTCAAGGGTCCAAAAGTAATTGGACAATTGAATATAATCATAAAACGTTAATTTTTAATATTTTGTTGAGAATCCTTTACTGGCAATGACTGCCTGAAGTCTGAAACCTATGAACATTACCAAAGACTGGGTTTCCTTCTGATGCTTTGCCGGGCTCTAACTGATGCTGTCTTCAGTTCTTTGTTTGTGGGTCTTTTTGCCTTTAGTTTTGCCTTCAGCAAGTGCAATGCATGCTCCATTGGGTTGAGATCAGGAGATTGACTCGGTCATTGCAGAATATTCCACTTCTGTTCCCTCAAAAGCTCCTGGGTTGCTTTTGCAGTGTGTTTTGGATCACTGTCCATCTGTACTGTGAAGCGCCATCCAATCAACTTTGCTGCATTTGGCTGAATCTGGGCT